GTCTCCAACAGAGCTGGCCATCAGACCTGAAGGAAGCACAGACCCCACTGGGCAGGAGGCCAATACACTGCCAGGTTTCCACCTGTTCTCTCTCCACACCTGCCTACGCTGTATGGTGTAACATGTGGGAAGCCCCAGCTTGCAGCCAAATTTTCTCCAGAGCTGAGGGCAGCTTTTGAACTGGAAGACGTGGGCACTGATACTATTGTGCCCAAGCTGGTTCACCCTGGGGCTTGTACCTCTGTGCTGGTGTTACCTTCCAGCCTTTGAACCAGCACCTCTGACTGGTGTTGGGCAGCTGGAGTCAGGGCCCATAAGGGAGCAAGAACAGGTGACCTCTGGGTGCTCCCAGTAGAGCAGTAACCTCAAATAAGCTTTCCATACTGAACACTTTTCCTTTGCAGAGCCTCATTTTTCAGGCCCATCCTGTTGCACAGGATGATGCGCCTTATTCTGCATAAGGATGGCTCAGACAGCTCCTGGGAGGACAGACTGTACTGCTTTCTACTCTTCTGACTTAGCATTATGTATAGTGATTCCCTCTTCAGTCTTGCAAGACCCACAATTACTCCCAGATCTTCAGATAAGAATAGATGCCAGGGTGTTCTTTTCATTCCTTGTTGTCAAAAAGACAAGACCATTTTTTCTACGGATGGATGTGAACTTGCCTTAGCTATCCAAGCCTTTTCCATCTTCATATTAAATGACTGCAGCATATTTCTATATAGGGCTATGTTGAGTAGAGCATATGGGAAAGTTAATAATGAAAAAGCAAAGAAGTTAAAAGTAAATTGTGAGGTTTAAAACTCATTCATGTTAATGTTATAAATGAAGTCTCAATCTGAATTTAGTAATATTTACAAAAGAATATTTATAAAAGGTATAACAGGCAAGTAAACAGCGCTGGGTATGCATGGAGTCTACGCTCCACCAACACCCACACACGAACATCAAACATACAAATGCATATTTGTATACATTTGTATACAAATATACAGAACATGGCTTTTACATACGAAACCCGAGTATGCCTATACAATCAGAAAAGGTAACAAACAATCCTTTAAGTTCCATGACTCCATTTTCCATTCCTTTTGAACAATATGTCTCGCTTTAAGTTGTCAAGCAACTCTGCCTTCAGGCCTTATGTATCCCGTTCTTCCCAAATCGAAGAAAAGTATATCCATCTCCTTTTCAAGGCAAATAGGGCCTGGGTCAAAAGGTGTGTGCAGGTCATCAGGGGGCGAAACAGCAAAAGCCTTGGATTACAGTAGCAGTGGGGGGGGTTATGGTGTAGCAGTCGGATCAGTAAATGAGCCCGCAGCTCCCTCACTGTCTGGCAAACCACATGTTTCTGATTGTGGTCCCACATGGCTCTTTAAAGACTCAGAGATTGCTCACCAGGTGCCGAGCAATCCCACTGCAACCTTGTCATTTTAGTTGCAGAGTCCCATACCTTGACCTCAATTTGGTCCTGTTATTTCAGAAACATAAACTGTTCGATTGTTAATAAGGAGAATAAGCTGTAAGGTTACCAGGACAGTCTTTGTTGCTAAGGACGTATGATTCACCATAATGCGCATCTGCTTACCAGCGAGAGGCAGTTGTGTGCACGGCTCCGCTTCTCTCAACTTGAGCTTCTTCCCAGCTCCAGTGTGCCTATTTCCAGCGACTTTCTGTACAAGTTTCTTTGAGCAGTTTGCTGAGTTTGGCCGAACCTTTTTCTTCATGAGGCAATCAATGTGCCTGTTCCCATCCTGGTCTCCATTCTGCCAGCCTGTTCCTTTTCATTCCTTCTTTCTGCTTCTTTGTTGATGACATAACTTCATCATGTTGCCTTTTTTTATCTATAAGGCTCCCCTCTTATACCCTTCTTCCCACAGCAGTTCTTTTCAAAACAACTTTTCATTGGTCAAACAAATTTGCAAAGAAACACCCAGCAACTTCCATGTCTTAAGGGCTGGAGAGCAAGCAACCCCAGACTGCATGGAGTCTCCTGAATCACCCTTCTTTGTTCCCTCTAAACTCTTTTATATTCCTGATGGCCTTATCGTTAAGAGTCTAATGTTATCATCAGCCACTGGGCTTTCCAACCCCCATGGCCACACTCCCACATTTCCCCCTTCTTTAGTAATATCAACCATGTTCTCAACACGAATTACTACTCCATATATAACATTAATAATGCAAACTGCTACTTTTAAAAATTCTTTTGTGTCTTTTTAAAGTGTTCTTTCAGAAATGTCTCCATTAAGAAGGCTAAAAATCTTATGTGATTTTAATAGAGAAGCCACTGGTTCTATGATTCACCCACAGATCTTAGGAGCATAGGAAGAAGTTAAGGGGAGGTTATGCATTTCTTTTTGTCTTTCTCTTGCCTGCAACACAGCTGTTGTCTGAGTTGTGAACATGCTGCCAGCTCCAAAAGTTGTTGTAGCATGAGATGTAAAAAATAAAACAAATTGTTTCTTCTTGGCCTCTCTTTGGGTTTTGAAGTATATGTGGGAATATTTTTAAGGCCTGGAGGGATGGATATTTGCACAATGTTCTCTCCTTAAGAGCCTTAAGAGAGGGAAGACTTAAGGCCCTGCACAATGCTGGATGATCAGACAGGTACATAGGATGGCTGTCAGTGCAGGAAGATTTGTCTTCATGAATTTTCATAGTGCTAGAATTGTTCAAAAGCTTTTCTTCATTTAGTGGTATTTAGCAAATGCATAGAGCCTTTGTTTTGGGGCAATTGCACAGATTAACATTGATGTTGAATGTTTAACATTTCTTAAGTGCCTTACATTCAACAAGCTGGAAATACTTGGCAGAACATACATACAAGAAATGAAAACATTTCCAATATCATTAAGATATTTTTAATTTTTAAAATAAAAATAGGTGGAAAAGTTTCACAAACAGGATTATATGTGTCAGAGCATTTTAAGTGTCAGAGCAGTTAGAAGTACCAAGCCAGTTTTAGGGTCTTGAATTTTAATTCCTGAGGAAAGCAGACTGTAGGGATATAGCTTTCACGGAGGAAACAAAATGGTTCCCAACAGTGCTTGTGGTCAACATAGCTCCTGCTCCTTCAAATGTGTCCCTCTCTAGGGACAGGCCAACACAGGACAGTTTTCAGGGACACATCAAGAAGATTGCAGTTTCTCTGATGTTTAACTTTAAAAGGCCATGAACCTAGTTTTAGGGCCTTGCTGGTTGAAGATCACGGCCACCAGAGGAGGAGCACCAGGTGAGGACAAGGCCTTTACAGCCCATAATAGCCCTGAGGGGTCACACCTATGGCCTTTCCCCATCCCTGCCCACACCCTAGCAGCTCCATTTCAGCTTCTTTCAGAGCCTGCCTTTATGGGTGGCTGATTTCTGTTGCTGCAGGTGTGATATATGGAGTAATAATTCATGTCAAGAAGATGGTTGTTGTTAATAAAGAAGCGGGAGATGTGGGAGTGTGGCCATGGGGGTTGGCAAGCCCCATGGTTGATGATAACATCAAGCTCTTAAGGATGAGGCCACTAGGAATGCAAACAGTTTAGAGGGAACAAAGAAGGGTGATTCAGGAGATGCCATGCTGTCTGGGGTTTCTTGTTCTCCAGCCATTAAGGCATGGAAATTGCTGGGTGTTTGCTGTTGCCAGGCAAAGCTGTTTGACCAATGAAAAGTTGTTTGAAAAGGACTGCTGTGGGGAGAAGGGTATAGGTGGGGAACCTGTCCTCAAAAAAAAAAAAAAAAAAAAAAAAAAAAAGGCAACACGATTTAATGAAGTTATGTCATCAACAAAGAAGCAGAAAGAAGGAATGAATAGGGACAGGCTAGAAGAACAGGGACCAGGACAGGAACAGGAACATTGATTGCCTCATGAAGACAGGTTTGGCCAAACTCAGCAAACTGCTCAAAGAAACTTGTACAGAAAGTCGCTGGAAATAGGCACACTGGAGCTGGGAAGAAGCTCAAGTTGAGAGAAGCGGAGCCATGCACACAACTGCCCCTTGCTGGTTAGCAGATGCGCATTATGGGGAATCATACGTCCTTAGCAACAAAGACTGTCCTGGTAACCTTACAGCTTATTCTCTTTATTAGCAATCAGATGGTTTATGATTCTGAAATATGGGACCAAATTGAGCTCAATGTGTGGGACAAGGTGTGTGTGACCTCAAACTGGGGTTTGAGGTCAATGTGTGGGCACCTCGCGAGCAATCTCTGAGGCCTTAAAGAGCCATGTGGGGCCACAATCAGAAACGTGTGGTTTGCCAGATAGTGAGGGAGCTGCAGGCTTGTCCACTGATCCTTCTGCTACACCAGCGGCCCCCCCACCACTACTGCCATCGTAGGCCCCTCTGCTGTTTCGCCCCCTGTTGACCTGGACGTGCCTTTTGACCCAGGCCCTATTGGCCTTGAAAAGGAGATGGAAATGTTTCCCTTCAATCCAGGAAGAATAGGATACATAATGCCCGAAAGCCGAGTTGCTTAACAACCTAAAGCGAGACTTATTGTTCCCACGACTAGCCCTGGAATTCTCTGGTGTTTGTAATCAAGAAAAGGAATGGAAAATGGAGACTGTTATATGATCTGAGAGAAATTAATGAAGTCATGGAAGATAGGAGAGCACTTCAACCAGGATTATGAACTCTAACTATGCTCCCCCAGTCATGGACATTAATAGTAATAGACTTAAAGGATTCTTTGTTAAACGCTTGCCAGAATTCAGAAAACTTTGACATGTTTATGTTTCAGTTTATACCTTTTCTGATTGTACATATGTATAGGCGTACTTGGGTTTAATATGTAAAAGCAATGTTCTGTATATTTAGAAAGTTCAATGTTCGTGTGTGCGTGTTGGTAGAACATAGACTCCCCGCGCACCCAGCACTGTTTACTCGCCTTTTATAAATATTACTAAATTGAGATTGAGTTGTGTCTTCGTGTATAACAAATTGATGACCCCGATGTGATCTTCTTGGACTTTGGATCTGCGACCAGTAAAGGGAGGTGCCCCACATAGTGACCCTTGTGGAAAGTGGTGCTAGAGTCTAACCTGATTTCGAACATAAGAGGCAAGTAAAGAACCAAGAGTTCTCCCTCTGTGACCCATAATTCTGCGTGTGAAGACCCAAATGAAGAGGATTTGTGAGTATACCATTCAGTTGGGGTGGGATTCGGTTGTGTGACTGTGTGTAAGGGTGTGACTGAAACAGAACTTAGTTCCGAAGCTAAGAATTCGTGGGTGGGTTAACCACTTGCAAGATACCTCTAGACACAGACACAGCCAGGGATTCGGAACCTCTTTGAGGGTTCCAGGAATTTGGAACTTCTTTGAAGGTTCCAGGATGGGTCAGGAGAAAAGGGTTCCATAACTGGAAGTTGGAAGGTTGAGTCTACTCCTGGAGATCTGAAAGTTAACCTTAAAAGAACTTGAAGTATATCAGGCATAGCTACCCTTTGAATGCTAATTTTATGTATATTAAAACTTGTATCTGGGGACCCCAAAACCCCACAGGGGGAGTGGCACCTTTGGTAGAGGTAAAAATATATATGTCCAAAAAATAGAACGAGGTTGACGTGGTGTTGTTTTCCATGTATCAGTAGTGGCGGAGAAGTCAATAAAAGTCATTATTTCTGTGGGTGTGCGCCTGGAGGCTGGAGCTGTGTATGTTGGGGTACATGGCAGAAGGAATCTAGTTTGTGCACTGGATTAAAGGCCTATCTTAAAAAGGGAGAAATAAAGAAAGAGACTGGAATAAAGTTCAAGAGACTGTAATCCAGTGAACTTTAATATTTATAATCCATGTGAGTTAAAACAGAGGAAAGAAACCCAATATGCAATTGCAGTTGGAGGAAAGGGAAAAGATTTTGGGACTACTAACAATCCCGTGCTTGATTTCTTGTATTACACTCCTTGTATGGAGAATAATAATCCAAGGAATGCAGTTTACCACAATCCCAGTGGAAAGTCCTCAAGAAGACAGAGTCTCTCTTATGGTTCAATTGGCCTTGGCCAAATTTGAAGCCAAGACATGAATTAATGAGATTCAAAAGAAGAGGTGGGATTGTGATATATGGAGTAATAACTCATGTCAAGAAGATGGTTGATATTACTAAAGAAGGGGGAAATGGGGGAGTGTGGCCATGGGGGTTGGCAAGCTCCATGGTTGATGATAACATCAGACTCTTAACGATGAGGCCATCAGGAATGTAAAAGAGTTTATAGGGGACAAAGAAGGGTGATTCAGGAGATGCCATGCCGTCTAGGGTTTCTTGTTCTCCAGCCATTAAGGCATGGAAATGTTTTAGTAAATATTCTAAAAAATAATTTTAAATGAATATTTATGAATAATAAATATATTCATATATTTATAAATACATATATATATATTATGTATTTATAATTATATAGATATATAATATAAATACATATAAATATTACTAAATTCAGATTGAGTTGTATTGTCATTTATAACACAGGTATGTGTTTATATGTTTTGGTGTGCACCTGGCTCTGTGCTAGCCCTGGCCTGTCTGGCAAAAGTTAATCACGTGCCACCCCTTCGTGTGAGTCTTGTATTGCGGTTTGCATTATACTCACTGCATGGCTGGTGTTTGCCTGCTTGCTGTGTTCAAGCTAGTAATTGTCTAGCTGTCATAGTCAAGTCATAGTCTAGCTGTGTACAAGTTAGTCAAAGGATCAGATGACCCTTTGTGTCATCTTTGTAAGTCAAGGGGGTCTTCACCTGAGGTCGTCTTCTTCTGCTGACCAAGTTGTCCCAAGCTGGAGGTGGCTGTTCTCTGCCAGCTGAGGCATGGCTGGTGGTAATGGTGCAGGACTTCATTGGAGCTTGCTGTTTTCTTTTCATAATGTTAGCAGGGTCAGCTGAAGAATTTAAAAGGAGAGGGTCTAACTTCCTACGTTGGAAAATGGGTGTGTTGGTAACTCTGGGAGTCCTTTCTAGCCTTGTATTTGCCATTCACTTCCCCTGTGGGAGGCCTGAAGGAGCAAAAGTAATCTACTTCCCACTGCTTAGCTGTATTTATTTTCCACTGCCTGCCTCTCTGCCTGCAGCACCACTAATGTTCCCAAAGCACCTGAAGTCATTTATTTTCTACCTCTGCCTGTGGCGGTGGTATTGCACCCTAGAAGGTTTTGTTTGAAGCCTTCTGGGCTTTGTTGGGAGTGCTCTAGGCATGTGAGAAAATAAATAGACTTGGGAGCAGTATGTGTTAAATCCACAGCGGGTATCTCCACTGCCAAGGTTTGTTTATGTTTTCACTTTTAATAAGTGTACATAGATATATTGCTAAGTATCTAGTAGACAAACATACTCTAGATGCTGAAAACTTGTTGCTTGTATGGTCCTCTCAGGAGCAGTTTGAACAGCATCATCTTCCCTTTATAAACACTGTAACATTTCTTTAAGAACTTAGATTACTTTTGATGGCCTTCATTTAATTAGGAAAATCTCTTTTATGTTTGTCTTGTTTTATGAACTCACCTGGGTCATCTGAAGTCTTACGGGAGTAAGGAGGATGCTTGGTTGTTACTGGGGTTGTTCAGGCCTTGCTGCTTTGAACTGAGCATGTGTGCGTAGATCAACATTCAGGGTTTGGGGAAAGACCAGCTGAGGAAAGGAGCCAGTCAGTTGGGTTTTTGTAGAATGATGAGGTTTGGAGTGATTAAATGGTTGCAGGCTTCAAAGGTAACAAGACTTCCATTTTTCTTTGTGATTATAAATGGCTGAGGATCAAAATAAGATGATTTATTTCCATAACTGACTGCTCAGGAAGTGCCTGGTTCATGCTTTGAATAACTCATGTGTTTCCCCTCCTTCATTCAAAATCAGCTTCTGCTGATTTCTTGTAGATGTACCTACACACAAATATATTAGCTGTTCCCTCAACCCAGCTGGTGTCACTAACATGACTTCTAGATCTACACCAGCAGCTCTTTTGACTGCTGTCATTAAAAACACACAAATAAACTAAAAAGTCACTGGCTCCAAGGTGATCTGGGCTGCTGTCTCCAGTTCATAGCCAGCCTGGCCTCAAGTGGTGCAACCAGTTAAGACCTGAAGATGGCATGTGGAATGCAAAGCCTGTTTTCCTTTTACTACTTTTGGGCTGTCTTTTGTGCTTTTCCCTTTTCCTTCTCCCCCTGTGTTTGCCAATGGAGGCATGTGCTTCTTTGCTGACAACTGGTTAAGACTCAAGCTGGAAAAAGCTCATGAGATATTTAAAACTTCTGTAATCTAAGCACCCATGTAACTTCCCTATTTACCACAAGGGAGATAAATCCTCTACCTAACTGTCAGGTAAGCCCAGCAGAGGAGGTGGAAATAAGACAACAAGCTGTGCATGACCATCCGGTCCCTGCTGATCCTTGCAGGTGTTACTGGGAGCACACTTTGCTTTTTCTGGTGTTGGAGATGTTGCCTGGATCTTTTGCAGGGGCTTTTGGGATCTTTCCAGGCACTCTGGTGCTGAGCAAGTCCTCTTTGCTCAGCGAAGTCAGCTGAGGTGACAAAAGCAGTTTGAGCAATTGATACAGCTTAAAGTTACAGATAAACAAAGGGAACTTCTCATCAAAGGCTTCAACATTTTCTGTAATGTTGTTGCCCCCGAGTTTGCTCTCCCGATGACCCTCAGTTAGCCTGTGCTCACCGGGTTCATAGGAAAACCTCTTTTTCTGTTGAGGAGGGGGTGGAGGAGGAGGAAAAACTTATAAGAAATTGGTCCTATTTTTCCTGAAATTGAAAGACATGAAGCTTTCCAGAACATAATGTCAATCTGGTCTTGTTATGGAGTAAGATCAGTGCTGTATATAAATAGAGATATTAGAAGAAAAACTTCACAAAATAATGTCTTGTTCCCATGCAAGCTGGGATGGCTGTGTAATAAATACAAAGCATCTGGTGTCTTTAATGTGCTACAAGAAGCCATTTAAAAACAAATACCCCACAAACTTCTACTGAGCTTCTAAAAAGCTATGAAATGAAAAATAACAGCTGATTCTTATGACTTTTTTATTGCTGGGGGGTTATATATATTTGGGGTATTTTTGTTTTGGACTGTTTGACACACACACAGCCCTGTGCGGAGGGCGTATGTAAGATGAGAGCAGCTCTAAAATCCCTCTTTGGGAGGTTTCTGAGCACACAAACTCTGCTGTAATTGACATTGCAGCATCTCCCTGTCTCTCTTTAAAATTGAAACATCAAAAATGTTTTCTCCAGTGTGCTCCCCCAGGCCATAATTCAGCCACCAAAGCCTGGTGGCAGTGGGGGCAACTTGCAGGAGGTGAGGGATGGCACTCCATGAACTTCAGAGCCTCTCTGTTGAGGATGTGCCCAAGCCAGCTTCTCCTCTAGGTCCTGCTGAGGACTCATGCAGGTGTGGCTCACAGCATTTGTCTCCAGGAAAAAGCAGACTTCTCAAACAAGAAGTGTAGTATTGAGACTTTTCAGAGTCCTGAATTGCTCACCTCAGGTGGGGTAATGAGCTGCAAAGCAACAAGGCATTCGGTAAGAAAACTTTCTCAAAAAGGCAGTATTTCTCAACTTGCCAAGACTGGGCATTTACCTGCTATTTAGTCAGCACCCATCAGGATAGCAACTAATTGAAGCCAAAGGGACCACTCACAGCAGAACATACCAGGCAACATGAGTAATGGTAATACTATTTGGCCTTTAATTAGTCATTTACAGTTTACTTCAGAGCTAGAGAGCTCTGGTTGTATCCACTGCTCCTGCATGTGAGCTCCTTGTGGATTAATTTGTTGCTCCCACAAAAGGTATGAAGGGCTGGTGACTGCAGAGCTGCTCATGTCTGCAGGTGTTTGCCCCACTCTTACCCCTTCCATTCATCACCAAGAAATCAGGATTTTTCTTCCTCCTTTGCCACAAAGTATCTGGGGTGTCTCAGGTGTCTCAAGTAAATCTTGCTGATTTGTCTCAGTGCCTGCTAAATTACAGCAGCTTTGCTGCAGGATAACAAGCTGGGCTGCCTCCCATCTGGTTTCTTTGCTAGCTATCCAGCTGTTAGCCTGACCAAGAGAGTGTTGTGGATGTCTGTCACAACACAGGGTGTTTTTTTTTTTTTTTTCCCTTCTCATTCCTTATGTTGCTGTAAATATATTTGATTAGGTTTGAACATATGAAGCCTGTGGGAATTTAAATTCTTTGTTATTGCCCGTTAACATCTATGCAGGGAGACTGATACTCAACAGGGCTCATTGGGGATTTTTTTTAATTATTATTTTTATTTTTTTACTGCTGGGTTTGTTTCTTTTTGTAACAGATCTTCCTGGAAACAGATTTTGGTTCTCCTGTTGCTGTCTGTGTACTTTAACAGGTAGATAGACTACTTCAGTGACTGCCACTGCTGAAGAATGTTGGATAGGCAAACGGGGTTAGTGGTAAGCTTTAGAGCACGCTTAGCCTTGTGGCCCTTGAGGTGTGGGGTCTTTGCTGGGACCCATGGCTGTTGTGGTTTTGTGTGGATTGCTGCTGTGGTGTTGCCTCTGTGCATTAGATTTGACATTGCTGTAAGTATAGAGAGGTGGCTTACTGTTCATCAACTTCACTGTTTATCTCAAACACGTCCCCCTGCTATGTAAAAGCTCCTTATAAACTTGTGTTGGAGTCTTTCTGTGGCTTTGTCTCCTTGTTTCTGTTTGTGCTTAGCATGAGCAATTATACATGTATGTATTGCAGTTGCCTTCTGTTGTATCAATCCTTGTTTGTTCTGAAAAATTAATCTTTTGAAAACATTTTTCACCAATACATCTTTCTGTACTATTACTGAAAGCTAGTCTCATCTTCATGCTTTCTCAGTGCTCGCTTTAGAAAATGTGATTATGTCTGAGGAACCCATTTAGTACCTTTGGTCTTCTGCTTATCTGCTGGTGAATCATCAATAGGAGATGCTCTCATTTGAATTCTAAGTGGGCATAGCTTCAAAGGAAAGCACAGTGGGCACTTCAGGTCAACGTTGTGCTTGAGTACAATAGCAGCAATTAACCCAAACGTGATTGCTGCAAGATCTGTTTATTCCCATCAAGGATGTCCTCAAACAGAGCCTGCGCTGTGAACTACCAGACCTAGGGGTGGGACGGAATCTGCTGAGGGGAGGTGGGCATAGCAAAAGGATGTACGTTTCGTCCACTTCTGTAACAGATTTAGATCCTGTCTAAAGAGCTGGCAAAAATAACAGCCAGTACTGAAGTACATCTTCTCCCAGCTCTAATTTGTTTATGAAGCTGGAAGGCATTGTTTCCTTCCCTTTGTCCCCTTCTCCTGTAGTCTACAGCTGCTGAGGAATTTTATAAGAATGTGTAGCTGTAATTCTTGTTAAATGGGTGAGAAAAATGAACTGCGAACAGTCATGTACTTTATCAATTAGCAGATTGCAGCTGGAAAAAGAATTACGTCTACCTGTCCTCAACAGTTTCATGTTTACTGGATTTATTGAGCCCATTCCTCCTGGCTGAAACATACATCTGGGTATGCAAGATTTCCTGCTGCTGCCTCATATATGTGAAGCAGAGGATTTAAAAATCAATCCTTCTGAGGAGCAAATATTTTCAGCCCTTCACTCTTTCACATTTCTGCCTTTTCATTCTGTTCTCCAAGCTGTGAAAGTGCTTAATTTCTCTGTGTTTGACTGTCACCCCAGATAATGAGACTCGTCAGTCACGGGATGGATAGGAAGTTTATGTTCTGTGCTTTCTCTGTAGGGACACGTCTGTCCTCAGGCAGTTCTGTTTTTTAAGTAGCACGGGACTTTAGTGGGAAGAAAGGTGCTTTAGATTAGGAATGATAAAGTGTATCTAGTAAAGGTTTCTAAGAAATGTGGTTCCCTAAATTCCTTCAACTGTGCATTAATAGGGCTTTGTGTCAGCAAGCATCCAAAGGTAGAGTTTGGTGGAGACAGCACAAAAGGGTATGGGTGACCTAGAAGGCCTTCTTTCCTTACGCTGCTCTGGTTGGAAGGGTGACCTCTGGTTTTGACCGGAGGTCCATAAAGAAAGAGGTAGACTTTATCTACACTGCAAACAAAACCGTGGGGTGTACCTGGGCTCTGACACAGAGCTCCATGCATTGCTCCCAGTAGCAGTTTTTTATGTGTGATTACTCATTTTTCCCTTGGTCCCTTAGGCTGTTCCCATCATCATGGTGTTGGGATGTCCCAGGGCTTTTGCAGTTTGAATCAGCTCATGCTGAGTGGTTTCCCTGAATATAACAACTAGCTGGCTTGCTCCGTAGCACAAACATTTGTGATTTACCACAGGCATTCAGCACCACTTGGAGCCAAGTTGTCCTGGTTTTAGCTAGGATAGAGTTAATTTTCCTCCTAGTAGCTGGTAGGGTGCTATGTTTCGGATTAGGATGAGAAGAGTGCTGATAACATGCTGATGTTTTAATTGTTGCAGAGCAGTGCTTACACTAAGGCAAGGACTTTGCAGCTTCTCGCTCTGTCCTGCCAGTGGGTGCAGCAGGAGCTGGGAGGGGACAGGCCCAGGACAGCTGACCCAAACTGGCCAAAGGGGTATTCCATACCACCTGACATCATGCTAAACAATATATAGGGGTGGCTAGACTGGGTCGGGGGGGCGGCTGCTTGGGGATAGGCTGGACATCGGTCAGCGGGTGGTGAGTGATTGCAGTGTGCATCACTTGTGTTGTACATATTGTTATCATTTTCTTTTCTATCCTAATAAACTGTCTCTATCTCAAACCGTGGGCTTCTTTTTCTCATTTCTTTCCCCCATTCCAGAGAGGGAGGGGGGAGGGTGAGCAAGTGGCTGTGTGGTGCTGAGCTGTCAGCCAGGTTGAACCACAACACAAGTTATGTTTGCTTCTGGTCAGATATGGAGTGCTTGGCCTTGCCAGTTAGAAGGTGACAGCCACATGGAGATAGCTGACAATCTGTGGTCATCCATTGCTTCATAGCCTTGGTTCAAACGCTAGGGAAAGTACCCAGACCTTTGCCAAACAGAGATCAGCTCAACTGGCGGGCGAGGAGTGATGCATCATGGGAGGAGTCCTGTAGGTACTCTGAGCCTAGATGACTTAGAGTTGGCATGGTAGGTGCTGCTGAAAGGGTGTTCATGAAGTGAACGGAGAACAGGGATATTAGGTTGTGGAGCAAGCAGGAGATGGCTACATAATACAGTGACGTGTCCTGGTTTTCAGATCTGGGTGAGAAGCATATAAACCAATAACGAATCTAGAAGCACCTTGTACATGTGTTATTGAGATTGGTATCACTCATCATGCGTAACTGATAAAGAGAAGCTGTAATATTGACTCCTAATGAAAGGTGATAAACACCATCCTTTTTTTTTTTTTTTTTTTTTTTGAGGAGTCGTGGTGGTGTTGATGCTGGTATGTGGAGCCAGTCAAGTATTTTGAAGTGACCTTCACACACAGCAGTAGGCAAGAGGTTGGATAAGAGTCCCGTGGAAAGGAAAGTGGCTCAAAGCCTTTCTCATGGTCTTGCTGACTGGGGTAAGCAGTTTCCCTCTTTAAACAGATCAGCCCCATGTTTCTGAGAGATTTTGCTTTCTTTTCCAGTTATCTGCTGCGTTAGGGCATTCTGGGAAGACATTTTGTGATGTCCTGAAAAAGTTCAGCAAATGCATATAATGTTTCTCAGTCTTAAACTCTTCCCCTGCCACTGAGGGAACCTCAGGGATTTTGCTTTCTTATTAATGAAAACTACAGGTGTATAGGAATTTAACTTCATAAGCTCATGAACTTGAGGCAAATTTCCTCCAGTTTTCTATGGCTCTAATCTCAATAGACTTTGATAATATAAGAACAGGGAAAGGACAGCTTGTTGTGATGGACAGTTTAATCTTACCTGCCTGCTGTGAAATATACTGGCAGATCTGGAGAACTGCAAAGTATAAATTGCCTTTTTAATACTGATAAACAGTAAGGGTGGAGGGGTGGGTGGGTGGGAGGGAGAAATAAAAATTTTAGGAAATATTACATCTTAATTGTAGTTCTCTGCTGGGATCAACAAATCTGGTTCATCCTTGATCTTCCCCTGTTTACTAAGTCTCTCAGCCCCACCATAATTATTTCCTTAACCCTTAAGAGGTTGGTGCCATAATCTGGAGCACAACAGTAATTGTATAACAGCTTGATGATGACAGGTTCATGTTTATTTTGTGACCAAAACAACTGGTCAGATAAGCATCCTTGTGATTTTTTTTAAGGAGTTTGTAAGCAAACTCATAATCTAAATGATGCCTTAATACAAGGAGAGGGAGGTTGTAAATAATTCCCCCCTCTCTCCCCCCCCCCCCCCCCCAAACCTTACAAGAGGGTAAACTGAATTTCTTTCTACTTCAGCCCCCTTGCATGGGAAAGGAATAACAAGGGAAATAGATGGAAAATACTTAACTTGGTTTAATCACAGAACTGTAGGGATGGCAGTGACACTTCATGACTTCATCATGCTAAGCCCTTCATTGTACCCTGAGAATAGGCAGAATCATTTTAGGAACTCATTACCATGCCTTGCCTCTCTATCATAAGGCATTAGATGGGTCTTTGCATATTGTCAGGCTGGTCTGACATAGGTGAGATAAGTCCTACAACCTGTCAGTTTATGACCAAGTGGCCTACAGGTGCCATGGCTTGGGAATACAGACACTATGGAGGGGGGAGATTTGTTTGAAAAGGTCTAACATGGGAAAAGAGAATGAAATTGAGAGTAGACAGAATATCAGAGCGATGTTTCCCAGCAGTGAGGTCTGACTGCAGAATACATCTGAGGAAACAGCAGAAATACTCTTACGTGTGGTGTGTGTATTTTTAAAAAACAAACCCACAAATGTGCATACTGTCCTTTAAAGGAGGAGCAGCTTGCTAAGTGGTGACTTGTGCATTAGTTGATTGATTGCAGTCTAAGGAATGGGCCCAAGTGTATTTCATGGGGATGGATATCATCACTAATCCATCCAAGAAGAGGCACCACTGGTACGTCTAGAGAAAATCATCCCCTTCAGAGGAATGGGATCTGCCATCCCCCATGGCATCGTGTGGAAGGGGTAATGCTAGCCTCTGAACTTCTTTCTCTAACACCTACATAGGTCGCTGGTGGTTCCCCAGGCAACTAATTTGCTGTGGTGTGATGGGGAAGGGCGACTTTGTGTTTTAAGTGCAACCTGCCTCTACCTTCTGCAATTGTTTGTGCGAGGCTAGGAGGACAGGTAGGTGTGGAGGCATCCCTTCCTTTCAGAGCAGAAAGGGGCTTGTTTGGTTTTACTCATGTTATAAATGAAGTCTCAACTCAATCTGAATTTAGTAATATTTATACTTAGGTATAAAAGGCAAGTAAACAGCGCTGGGTGTGCAAGGAGTCTACGCTCCACACGCACATACGAACATCAAACATTCTAAATATACAGAACATTGCTTTTACATACTAAACCCAAGTATGCCTATACATACGTACAATCAGGAAAGGTAACAAACAATCCTTTAAATTCCATAACTTAACAGTCTCCATTTTCCATTCCTTTTGAACAATATGTCTTGCTTTAAGTTGTCAAGCAACTCGGTCTTGAGGCCTTATGTATCCCGTTCTTCCCGAATCGAAGAAAAGCATACCCATCTCCTTTTAGGACTGGGTCAAAAGGCACGTCCAGGTCAACAGGGGGTGAAACAGCAAAAGCCTTCGATGGCTGTAGCAGCAGAGGGACCCATGGCATAGCAATCGGATCAGTAAAGGAGCCCACAGCTCCCTCACTGTCTGGCAAACCACGCGTTTCTGACTGTGGTCCCACACAGCTCTTTAAGGCCTCAGAGACTGCTTGCCAGGTGCCGAGCAATCCCACTGTAACCTTGTTATTTTTAGTTGCAGAGTCCCACACCTTGACCTCAATTTGGTCCCATGTTTCAGGCTCATAAACTGTCCAGTGGTTAATAAGGAGAATAAGCTGTAAGGTTACCAGGACAGTCTTTGTTTCTAAGGACGTATGATTCACCATAATGCGCATCTGCTTACCAGCGAGGGGCAGTTGTGTGCATGGCTCCGCTTCTCTCAACTTGAGCTTCTTCCCAGCTCCAGTGTGCCTATTTCCAGCGACTTTCTGTACAAGTTTCTTTGAGCAGTTTGCTGAGTTTGGCCGAACCTCTTTCTTCATGAGGCAATCAATGTGTCTGTTCCCGTCCTGGTCTCCGTTCTTCTAGCCTGTCCCTATTCATTCCTTCTTTCTGCTTCTTTGTTGATGGCAACACAATTTAATGAAGTTATGTCTTTTTTTTTTTATCTTGAGGGCTGGCTCCTCTCTTATACCCTTCTCCCCACAGCAGTCCTTTTCAAAACAACTTTTCATTGGTCAAACAACTTTGAATATAACAACAACAGCAAACCCCCAGAAACTTCCATGCCTTAATGGCTGGAGAACAAGAAACCAGAGACTGCATGGAGTCTCCTGAATCACCCTTCTTTGTTCCCTCTGAACTCTTTTATATTCTTGATGGCCTCATCATTGAGAGTCTAATATTATCTCATCCTTGGGGTTTTTCAACCCCCATGGCCACACTCCCAAATCTCCCCCTTCTTCATTAATATCAACCATTTTCTCGACACAAATTACCACTCCATATATAACACTCGTGCTTAACATGTGCAATAAATTTAAAGATCCCATTCAACTTAGAAGAAGTCCCGTTCACATGTTACACCATTATTAACAGAGACAATGGGACAAACATTGGTATCCTGTTAATTATGGGCATGCTAATGATATACATTTCTGGAGTCAAATAGCACTGTAATTCTGTTTCCTGTCTTAAGTTTGTGCTTTGCTGTTTGAAATGTTAATGAAGCCAGTATTCTCAAAGGTCATCCTCTGAATATATCAACTGCTTTTTTATTTTGTTTTGGAACAATTTAAATGAGATTTCGTTCCTAATGTTGCTAACAATGTTAACTTTTCTGTTTAATTAACGAAAGTGTAGGAACACGTCTTTGCCCTGGTCAGTAAGCTAAATGAGAAAGCTCTGTGGTCTCCTTGAAGTTATTCCTTGGCGTTTTCTTCTGTGGTGTGTGTCCTGTTGCTCCTGTTTCCCCCAGCAGCTCCAACTTCTTTCTCTTCATGGACTCTGTGAAAGAATGGTTTAAAAAAAGAAAAAGAAAAACAAAAACAAAAAACAGGAAAGTGCAAATTTAGCAGAACTGAACATTGTATTTTCCAAGGAGCTATCTATCATCTTCAGAAAGTTTTAGTTCATCACAAATACTAAAGAAAAGAACTGGTAATCGCTGTTTCTGGCTAATTGACAGAATTGTGTCGTGAAAGAGGGAGAATTTCTGCACTGCCTTTGCTGATGACACTTGAAGGTTGTTTTAAACTTTCTATTTCTACTAAATTAAGAGATTGTCCCTTGCCTGTGTTCATCATTAATCCAGTAGGTTGATTTTTCACTTGTTTTTAGTACTGTTAGATGACAGGGAAGAGGCAACTGTAAAGAATGTTTCCATCAACACAATTTGTGTGATAAAGCTCTTCAGGTTTGTCATATACACCTTAATATTGTAAAGTAGTGCCTGATTGGGCCCCATTTTGCAGTGGGCCCCACAACCGCCATGTGGGGCCACAGTCAGAAACGTGTGGTTTGCCAGACAGTGAGGGAGCTGTGGGCTCCTTTACCGATCCGACTGCTACGCCATGGGCCCCTCTGCTGCTACAGCCATCGAAGGCTTTTGCTGTTTCGCCCCCTGTTGACCTGGACATGCCTTTTGACCCAGGCCCTATTCGCCTTGAAAAGGAGATGGATACGCTTTTCTCCGATTCGGGAAGAACAGGATACATAAGGCCCAAAGGCCAAGTTGCTTAACAACCTAAAGCACAACATATTGTTCCCATGACTAGCCCTGGAATTCTCTGGTGTTTGTAATCAAGAAAAGGAATGGAAAATGGAGACTGTTAAGTCATGGAACTTAGAGGAACTTAAACCATTGTTTGACACCTTTTCTGATTGTATATATGTATAGACGTAATCGGGTTTATTATTAGTATTTATTATTATTACTAAATTATTTATTACTATTTATTTATTATTACTAATTTATTATTAATAAATTCAAATTGAGTTGAGTGCTTCATGTATAACATTAATAAAGAGAATAATAATCTGTAAGATTACCAGGACAGTCTGTAGCCCCACACAGCTCTTTAAGGCCTCAGAGATTGCTCCCGAGGTGCCGAGCAATCCCACTGCAACCTTGTTATTTCTAGTTTCAGAGTCCCACACCTTGACCTCAGTTTGGTCCCATATTTCGGAATCATAAACCATCTGATTGCTAATAAAGAGAATAAGCTGTAAGGTTACCAGGACAGTCTTTGTTGCTAAGGACGTATAATGCACATACATCTTTGTTGCTAAGGACCATAATGCACAGCTGCTTACCAGCGAGGGCCAGTTGTGTGTACGGCTCCACTTCTCTCAACTTTAGCTTCTTCCCAGCTCCGGTTCACCCATTTCCA